AGAAACGATCCGTCATTACAGCTTTTTAACTTTAAGCTGTTTTTAGCTAAAACGTGAGTCCATAATCCATAACAATGTTTCCTCCAGTGAAAGAAAGAATGAAACATTACGATGAAATTGAAGTGCAGACTTCAAGCTTTAATTCAAGGGGTTGCACAAAAATATAACATGAAATGCTTAGGAATTACAACCATTTTTATACACAGTCCTCCCATCTTCAGGGGATCAAATGTAGTTGGACGAATACATATAATCATAAATAAAATGTTTATTTTTTAATATTTTGTTAAGAATCCTTTGTAGGCAATGCCTGCCTTAAGTCTGGAACTCATGGACGTCACCAAAGACTGGGTTTCCTCCTTTGTGATGCTTTTCCAGGCCTTTACTGCAGCTGACTTCAATTGTTAAACTGTTTTTAGCTACAATGTGAGTCCAAAATCCATAACAATGCTTCCTCCAGTAAAAGAAAGATCCTCTAAGCATATTTCTCTCCTAATTCAAGCAATGTTATAGATCAGGGGTGCCCAAACTCGGTCCTGGAGGGCCGGTGTCCTGAAGAGTTTAGCTCCAACCCCAATTAGACACACCTGAACCAGCTAATCAAGCTCTTACTAGTCATACTAGAAACTTCCAGGCAGGTGTGTTGAGGCAAGTTGGAGCTAAACTGCAGGACACCGGCCCTCCAGGACCGAGTTTGGGCAACCCTGTTATAGATAGTGGATTCGTATTTCAGCTGGAATCAATGGTTTGACGTTAAAATGCCTTAATGAGTAACCATTTTTATACACAGTCCCCCCATTTTCAGGGGCTCAAATGTAATTGGACAAAAATATATAATCATAAATATATGAAACAGCTTTTGAGTCAATTGTCCAATTACTTATGGTCCCTTGAAAAAGGGGGGAGGTACATATTAAAGAGCTGTAATTCCTTGACCCTTCCTCCAATTTTGATGAGAATACCCTTAAATTAAAGCTCAGAGTGTACAACTGTAACTTGAATTTGTTTTGGTCAACAGCTAAAATAATAAAAAATTGTGCCTGTGTCCAAATATATATTAACTAACTGTATATATAAACAGCTTTTCACAGTCGTGTGGGTTACCTGTGGATTATTGTGATGTTTTCATCAGCTGTTTGAACGGTCATTCTGACGGCACCCATTCACTGCAGAGGACCCATTGGTGAGCAAGTGATGTAATGCTAAATTTCTCCAAATCTGTTCTGATAAAGAATCATACTCATCTTGGATGACCTGATGGGTGAGCTCATTAAAAATTTGGGGTGAGCTATATTTGTGAGAGTATATTATACATGTGCAATGTTATTACCATTATGACTTGACCATGTTTGCAGAATCCTCCTTCTGAAGCAAGATTTTTCAGCATTGAAAACCAACATACAGACTTTGACTGGCAGTTGTTCCACATCATTTGCTTGGGTACAAGTGAGAATGATGGATCGCTGACTCCTTGTGAAGGTAACTTTATATAATACCCGGTCTATTTTTATCTTCACTATTTGATGCAACCAAGGTTAAGCCAGAGTAGTGCATTAAAATCATATAGAACAGAAACGAGTCTATGAAGCAAAGAAATAGTCCACTCACATATCGGGTTGAGGCTCTAAAGCAGTGGGTATGTGTAAAAACTGAAAATGCAAGCTGTGCTTCAGTGATCTTTAATTACTCAGTTCATGCCATTTGTCCCACAGCATTAGTGTGATTTTATAGCAGAAACTATCAGCTCTCTGATCATGATGCTGTCTGGACACAGTCCAGGAAATGGAGAATGAAGAGGAATCTAGTTGGCTATGGTTGACAGGGACGGTGCTTATTACAACATCACAGCTGATATCATTCTGTGATTTACATCATAAAAGAATGTCCTCTGCAATTACAGAGGTGTTAATAAAAGCACTTGACCTAACAGGGCTCAGTAGACTATTTAAAAGCCTGTATTTAGATGAAAAGCTATTAGCAAACAGTTTTGCTATTGTAATGTTACATATTTCTGAGTGAATGGACTACTTTTATGGTGCTTTGGGTCTTTTTAGAAAGACTCTGCTAAACTTTGATTCACCTCCAAATGCATCTAATCAATTTTTTTTTTTTTTTTTGGATAATGAATGTGCTTTTAGACTGTTTGCAAACACAGCAATGAATTCTAAAAGCAGAGATCTTTAAGAATGGTTTTAGTATTAGGCTTTTACATGCATGCACTCTACTTGTTTGGCAGTTTTTAAGCCCAAATATTGATATTGTGATTTCGATGCAATGCCCGCAGGCTGGGTTTATTGAAAGATGTGCTGTTGCAGGTATACGGCTTATTAATCCAATTTTTGGATATTTTTGTTTTCCTCTTCTCATCAGTTTGATTGGGTTACTTAAAACATCCTGTGGATGTCAAAACATGTTTACCGACTTAGAACCATATTGCTCTTATGTTAATGAATCTGTGTTTGCTGCTTTCGTGAGCAGGCAACAGATTGTTTTTGTTTATTTCATTTATTCGTTCTCTGAAAAGACCTTCAAAAGACAAACAATCCCAAAGACATAAGAGCCGGACAGGCTTTTTTTGAATTTCCATGAACTGAATCCCAAAGTACACTGCTATAAAGCTTTATTCCTCCTTGATCAAATATTTTACTGATATCATGCCAGTGAATTATATTTACTTGTTTACACTCCCCATGCCATTACAATAATCAAGCAGAATTGAATTTTATTTACATTTCTCAAATGCTCTTGCCATCTCACTAGATGGAACCCAGAGTGTTTTTTTAGCTGAGACAGATCCCATATGGATGCATATATTGATGAGTCTACTACACTTTGTATATTGAAAAATGCCTCCCAAAGTGTTTCTATGAAGCATTAAAGCTTGATGCAGGCTCCTGGTCTTATTATGCATAATTGTATCTGTGTATGTTATTTCGAAGGAAAAGGGTTATCTTAATGTTTTGTGAAAATGTAATTAATTGCTCAGCAAAAAATCCATCACCTAGGCCACATGAGCAGGAAAAATTATGTAAACTGAAGGTTTGTTGTCAGCTTATTGTTTTGAACATGTAGTTTATTTACATATATATATATATATATATATATG